GCAGTTGGCCCAATATTTTCATCTTCGGCTTTTATGTATGTATGTATGTATGCATGTATGTATACATATATAATATTGTGGTATATTATATCGTCCGACTTTGCACTGTTTGCGGGCGATTCGTCACTGGTAATCTCAAGGGCACTGAATGTAGGGCTTTGTTGTTTCCGCAAACGTCTACTAGAGTTTTGGCGCTGGGTTTATTTTAATTGTATAGATATCACGAGCTTTCCTGTGAGAATTGCGTCTCCAGGGTGGGTCTTCGGTTAGGATTTTTGGCCTGGTTTCGTATCGGTGGTCCGGGACTGCCGCCATAACCCGCTGCGAATAATTGGGGGCATGAGTCTTTTATCAGTTCTTGTGTTTCGCGCAGCTGTCGCTGTACTTGAGGCGCGAGGCGTTGAACGCTGATTGCTGGCGGAAATTTGTATTCCGTCGGCGGCTGTAAATAAAAATTTAAAAGAGTTAGTGTAGACTATTGGAACAAAGTTATCGGTTTTACGTACATAAATATACTATTTTGATATACTCAGTACAATAACTGTGCCTTAGACGGTCCCAGGCTCGGTTTGAGAAAACAGGAGGGGAGACAGGGGGTTTTGGTATTTCCAGGGTTCGGGCTTGACTACCCCGCCTACCCCAGTCAAAGGCTGAAGAGTCTACGGCTTTCGAAATCTTACCAATGACTTAAAACGGTAGCGCGGGTGAACAGATATCCCCCTGGAGTGTGTTCGTTGGCTGGATAAGCAAAACTAGTGAGACGAACTAGGCTGAAAGATAAGCTAGATGCACGAGTAAGATCGTACAGCTGGTGAGATTTGCAAGGAAGAAAGTGGCTCGTCAAGCAACTCGAGCGGGTGTAGAAAACCGGAAAAAGAGCAACAATCCATGCCTTTTGCCCACCCGGGCTCCCCTGTAAGGCTAGTAAGACCTGCGAGATTAGCGAGACGAGCAGAATGAATGAGGTGAGTTAAGCGACTCGATCAAGGGGGGTTGAAAGTAGATTTTCACTCCGGGCTGGGACACCTGGGGTGGACTGAGATCAGTAAGCCTTGTAAGAGGAGTGAGACGACCTGGATGGTGGTGGATGTTGTTTTGGGTAGCAACACGATGAAGCTGTTCTCCAGTTAGGGAGACAATGTTGGAGGTTGATGGATGTGGCTCGTAAAGCAATTCGAGCGGGTGTAGAAAACCGGAAAAGGAGTAAGACTGCATGCTTTCACAATCCGGGCTGCAGTTTACTCCCCAGTAAAGCTAGTAAGACATGCGGGATTAGCGAGACAAGCAGAATGAATGAAGGGTTATGGTGGCAACATGAAGCTGTTCTCCGGTTAGGGAGTCAGTGTTGGAGGTTTATGATGGCGGAAAAGCAAATCTGACTAGTTGTGGGTTCAAGCATGTGTATTCTGGTAAGTTTAGTAAGTCGCGTGAGTCGAGCTGGTCGAGCAAGTCCGGCTGGCGAGCACTACTCCAGTCTGTTCAGTGAGGTACGGGGAGTATCCCGGGGGCTGTGGTTTAATAGTGAAATGCGGGTAGAACTTGCAAGGGTTCAATGTGGAGTTGCATTTCAACCGGGTGCCGGGACCCAAAGAACCGCAGAGATTTTAGGTAGGTTTCGGCTTTACCAAGGTGGAATGTGTGTCCGCCCCAGACTGCCCTTGGGATTGAAATGTTTGAATTTCAGGGCAATGATTAAGGCATGAATTAATCCATTGAGCTTTTGAGCTTCATGGAGCTCGGACTGCATTTAATTCGGTAGGGTCCCACGTTAAACCTAACCTCCAGATAAGTACTAAGTACAATATACACTAAATATACAAATCAAAATGTTTTCAGCCGACTTGAGCGGTTATCGCTTACATATGATCACAGATTCGTATGTATGTGTGTATGTAGTTAAAATTCAGAACAACGATTAGCTCCGTTATTATTGGGGCGGACCACGTTCAGCCGTTCGAAACGAGGTTTTAGAAAAGCAAACAATTTGTGGAAGAAAGCTGAGGAGGGCTATCGGGAGAGCGTATGAATGGCCCTTCTTTTCTTTAAATTTGTGGTGGTGTTTTTATTTTTCATTCCTTTAATTATAACTAATGCCCAATTTTTTGTTTAACTTTTCACATAAGCTATAAGTCAAATGCTAGAAACATAGATAATTCCGTACTTTGGCAACCACTTTTTGCAATAATTTTGGAACTTGCTCGGACCAGGAATGGAAACTGAGTTCTACGCAGTGTTTGTTGTTATATCGGTTTACACTGGATGCCGCAGTCCAAGGGAATTCGTGGTTTTGGTGGATTCGGAACAGAGGAAAAGATTTTAACTGATTGGTTTGAGTGGGCAAGTGAAGTTATGCTTAGGGTGGTTGTGAGCTCCGTCCTACTGGAAGCCCTGAGATGGGGAAATCCGGTAGATTCTTCAGCTCTATAGATTTTTTTCAATAAAAACCTTCAATGCACGATAAAACCGGTTCACAGAAAACCAGTCGATTTCAAAACATACGTCACTGGCCTGGAATCGTTAGGTAAAATAAGAGATCTCCTTCCACTATTTGAGATCCTGACGACTCTACAAACTTTGGACATATAAGCACTCCTCATGCAATTTGCAAACATTTTATACTGCTCTTTGTTTGTGTAAAAAGGAAAATGGGCATCAAGAAGAAGCTTTAGTGATTCTTCATTAATAATAGCTTTATTCCCTTCCTTTTTCTCAGATAGCCCATGGCTCCACGCAGGAATGAATATAAATCTAGAAAATTCGTTATACTCTTCTTCGCTTTAGCAGATGTTCTTCCATGAACCCTCTTTGGTATTCTAATTTTTTGTCCATCTTTATATAGCATCAGAAAATATTTTGCTTCCCCACGTTCTATTAAAAGTCATCGACTTCACGCCCTCAGATAAAGCTTCGCCGTTCACCAGAAGGTATTACATGGTCGTACGGAGTACAGTGTTCTGGCAGGTACACTACTTGGTCTATTTTGTCCTGCTTGTCCCTGACGACTATAAAAGGCTGCCGCTTTTTACAAGGTTTCGTAAGCTGAGCAAAAACAACAAGCTTTCTTAGGCTCTCCAGAAGTTTCCGGCTATAACCCGTCAGAGTTGATTTTCCAATAGAGCTGGAAAACTATCGACAGTCGTCGACATCGGTAGTTTCCGTAGTCGATAGTCACAACCATCGATAATACTATCGATAGTTTTGATTAAAAAGGTCCAAAATTTAACATAAACAATAAATTTTGAAAATGAAACTTTTGCTTCTGGTGGATAAAGTCAAACACGTATTGTCAAAGATTAGGAATCGTTTGGTAAGTTAATAGAAGTTTCAAGCATATAAGTGTTACCATACATTAACAGAATACAATTAGGGTGAGAAACACCCATTTTAAGTCCATTTATGCAGTCTTGAAAATTGGTGCAGAATGGTTTCACCGAAGAAGCACATTTTTCGCGGTTTCTAAATTTGCCATTATATGAAAGTAGGCGACGTACAATAAGTGTTTAGATATACATAAATATTTTACTTAATTGCATTATGTGAAGAAGTGACTAGGTAAATGCAACATATCCTGGGAAATCCTTTTGAGGACTCTGCAATTGGACGATATTGCTTTATATTCAGCTTGAACGAAAAAAGTCACTCCCTGGTACACGTTTCTGTAATCCGGTTCTTTTAGTTAAAGGTTCTTTATACAATTGAAGAGATCTTTTTTAGAAAAAAACTGGAGATCCACCTAAGTTTTTCGATATAACTTTGGCAAATATTACTCGTTCGGTACGTAATACCAAATTGAAGCCGAGACTTACTGTTCCTGATTTATGATAATAATATGATGAAAATCGTTCAGATTATAAACAAATTATTAAAAAAAAAATGTTGAACAAAATTTTTTGTCATTTTCCTATATTTGCAATTTATATATTATATACATCAACATAAGTAAACTAATTAGTGTTTCTAGAAGTTGTGGCTGTTCAGTGTTTCCATACTTCTTGCACAACAAAATTTTTCCATGATGATGGAAAATAATGGCTTTTCTATTAGAGCTACCGAAATTGTTCCTAAATTTGCAAACTATAGCTAATATTTAAAAAAAAAAATAGAATATTTGGAACCAGCGACCTAAATGCACGCCAGAAATATTAATACTGTTCTTTACATCTTTTGACTATAGGCCAGTGCAATTATCAAGAGAACAATTAAAATTTTATTGAAAACAGATAACTTTGTGATGAACGTTAAGCTAGAGGGCTGCGAGAAATGATATTTGACTTTATTATTTGCGTTAACGGATTCATTATCTAATAACATGCACCAAACCTTTTTGCTGAACCTAGAATTTTTAACAAGAATTGGTCTTATTCGACTAGTGTGCTGTGGGTCACTTGGTGGTCGATGTGCGGGCTCTTACAGTTAAAATAAAAGACAAATATTTTGCAGGCTTGTTGTTGTCTGCATGATACAATATATTTTCACTATTACCAAGGGATTTGAAAAAAATTAGATTTTCGACCCGCCCTAGTATACATATTTGTTTTTCGGTTAAAATTTAGTGTGTGTGTTTTTTGGTATATAATTTAAAATAAACACTACTCCTGACGATGCTAAAAAAGTATCAGCGAAACGCCGTATAAAAAGTGGAATAAAGTGGTTTTATTCGCACGCAAACTCAAAACATCAGACTAGCCTACAAACATAAAATAACAACAACTTTTATTGAAAATGAGATCAGAATTGCTAAAATATGTCTATATTTCTGTTAAGGAACAAAAGTTTATCAACGATTTTTAGCTTAAATTTAATGGAATTTATTTGTCATGCTTTGATAAATGTCCTTTCCGACATCAAAAGATAAACTAGGTACCGCCGGCTTTTACTCTTACAGAATAATGTATGTATGTATGAGTGGTAACTATCGATAGTGCTTACAAAACCATCGATGTTTTCGATAGTCAAAAACCATCGATACTATCGATAGTGTCATCGAAAGTTTTCCAGCTCTATTTTCGAACGGCATGAATAAAAAGATTGAAGAGGCTGCCTTGGTATGGCTTAAGGCATCCGATATATTCAACTTTACTAGTGCCATTCTCTAACTATTCGGACCCTAGGTTGTTTGGGTGTTTATTACGCGGAGTGCTTTGTTTGCATTGTGCTTTTAACGGAAACCAAATAACCAAGTGCATTCATTACTAGCAAAAGGACAGTTATCGGACGATTAGACTCATCTTTGTTGGACGGGTTCCAAACCTTCAGTAGTAGGACCGCTTCTCAGACTTCCACATGTGGGGAATGATTGGAGTGGCACACGACAGGTTAAAGACCTTAATAAAGTATCCGAATCCAAGCGATTTAGTATCAATATGCATATTTCTTAGGGATCCATGGACTTGGACCCTTTACATTTATTGCTGGTGAATGTAAGAGGCGAACTAGGCTTGGATGCCGTATAAACTAGCTCGTGGCTTTCGTTTTGATTTAAACCCTACTATTGTGAAGTTTCAGATGTAAATGTGCTGTTTTTAACCGACTTCCAAAAAAGGAGGTTATCACTTCGCCGGAATATTTTATTTTTATGTATGTTACCGCATAACTGTGGTCCAAAGTCAACCGATTTCGATAATTCTTTTAGCATCGGAAAGGTAGTGTCTCAGGGGTGGTCCCGTACTAATCTGGTTTAGAGCCGATCATTGGATCATGAAATATATTTTTATATGAGAATTGAAGTCGGTTTTGTTTTTTTGCTAAAAAATTACTTGTTCCGTTTATGTCGATTTACTAGTGTTCTATTCTCCAAATTGAGTTCTCTGATTCTTGAGTCTACCGGCTGGTAGAAAGCGTGGCTGCAGTGACCAGCTTGAAGAATATTAAATCGCCTACTTGGATGTGCGTTGGGGTGTAGATAGCCCTGAAGGTATTATGGGCAACTACCGAGAAGCCGTTGTAGTTAGCTTTTTTTTAGTTAAGTTAAAGTAGAAGCAAATTCGGCGGGCTTATGAACCGAGAGGATATATCCTTTTGGTTGGGCTTGCCCCTGTTAGTGGTGCTGCCTGTTGGGGTTCTACAGCAGGTGGCGAGGTAGTCATTTGTCAACTTGCGGCTTCTGCGCAAGTAAGAACACAGTCGCAAGTGGTGACAAACCAGGAATTTCACTGAGCGCGATGAAGGTAAGGGAGAACGGTGGGATAGTTAAGAAATTGCTCAGATTAGCTCCGTGGGGCGGAGTTGGAGGCGTGGGGCAGAGGCTGCCGTACACTCGCAATGTGACCTAACCTCAGAATAGCAACTGGCATACGCCGCAGAAATAGATTTCTAATACAGAGCAATTCTGTAGCAAAGTTTTACTCCAGGGACGAACAACGATTGGATGGGTTCGCCAATCCAAACTGGGTGGGCACGTTTACAAATTGAGAACACTATTTATCAGATTCGCCTTGTTTTCATATTATCCATATCTTTCAAGTAGAATTTTAATTCAAATTTTTGATTTACCTGCATCGCGTGCATTTGTATTTGGTCACCGTAGTATGGTTGACTTTGGCCTTGCGGAGTTTGTTGGTCATTTTGTGTTCCTGTCATTGTCATGGTCGCCATGGCCAATGCTGCATTTGACGTTTGATGCTGCTGTTGCTGATATTGTTGTTGCATTTGCTGATGCATTTGTGGTGGTTGTCCGAAATATGCTAGCTGCATGGGCATGGTTGGTTGGGATGAACAACCGCTATTGGCGCCTCCGTTGGCATAGCTATTGCCTGCTGATGCTACTGCAGCTGCCGTTTGTTGTGCTGATCCACTTATATATGCGTTAGGCAGCGGCGTTGTCACGGTGTGCATTTGTTGTGCAAGCGGACTGGAATTCATAAGCAACCGACCATCTATTAAGCGTTTAGGACTAACATTCGACTTTATATTGCCGAGCAGTTGTGGAGAGCTGCTGGAGAGCAAATGCTGCGTGTACTGCGGTTGCGGTGTTTGATTGGACGCCTGCAGTAGTGCGAGGGCGTTGGACGTATTAGCGGTGGTTGCGGAAGTTTCTGGCGTCATGCTGATTGGCATTTGTGGCACAACGGCCAGTTGGTGCAACATTTTGGTGTTCATGTGCGAAATTACAATCTGCTGGGATCCTTGATGATGCTTCAGTGTACCGCCGGCCGCTACCGCTGCCGCCGACAACTGAGCCGCCGTTGGTGACACGCCATGTGCTAGAAAGTCTGTGGCCAGCACTGGTTGCTGCACTGGCATCGGCATCGGTACCGGTACAGCGACCGTGGGCTGCATCACGGTTCTGGTCGTTGCCAGTTGTTTTACTGGTGCTTGGCGAATCGGTGTCGTTTGCAACGAGCGGCTGGCGGAGGAGCAAATAGAGGCAGTCAGACTCGCTGACTCCCAGTGTTGCACTAAAGCATTCAGTCTGGCCTCTTCAAGTGCGATCTCCGTCTCACTCGATGAATCGTAATCGGGTCCCTACAAAAACAAAGAACGGGCTTAGGAGCCTTCAGTCAAACGAAGGGGGAAATATTTTCTCACCTCTTCAATCTTTCTATCAAGCATGCGAAAGAAGTTCTGCTGGCTCGTAGAAATTTCTCTGAAAGTAGAAGGGTGAATGTACTAAACTTTAAACAAAAAAAATGTTTTAGTTCGTCTCACTGGCTTTGCAGCAAGGATAGATTTTTGGCTCGCAGTAGTGATACAGACACATCCTCATCATTGTCCTGTGCATCTTTATTGCTTTGCTCATCGTTCTCATCATGTTTATCACGTTCTCGATTTTGACACTTCTCTGCGTCTTCAATGTGGCCTTCATCTTCGTCTGTTTCAGCATCTGAGTCAGCTGCAAGGAGAACATAACGTGCATAAGAAAACTACATAGGGGCAAAGATACATATATGAATAGTAGGGCTGGGAGTTTTATTCGCATAATCCAGATATCCGTATATTCGAATCTAAAATTAGCAGCAAAGTCGAAATTGTTTGCGTATTTATGAAGTGCTCTATTATTTATTTTGTAACTCAATAGATTCAGAAATGTCAAGTAAAATTTTACGGGTCCCCTCAAAAACTGTTTAGAATATGCGGATAACTAAAGTGAATGCATATGAATCGAATTATAAAATGAATGGATATTAACCGGATATATCCGGATATCCACCTCCCGTATAATATTGCAAACTATCTCGAACCCGAAAAACTGCTGTTGGATTTCAAAAGAAATGCATTTCGAGCTACTTTTCGAATTTCGACTTCCGATTTGACGACTTTTTGTACTGGCCTGAGAGAGTGAGAAGAACAATAGTGTATCTTAAAAACAAAAGAGGTGATCGGGTACATGAACCAACTGCTAAGCGCAATTTGGATGGTGAACTCTGTCCATTAAGGATAAGCTTTCTTATTATTACGAATAAAGCCCATAAGATGTTCATTCCGAACAAAATGACGCCATTTTTGAGTAGACCGATTGCGTCTTATTAGAGTGGTTTCAGATCCTACATATTCATCAGTGGTCAGATTTATACAATGTATTGCATCAAATCTCGAAAGATCTATTGCTAACCCTGTAAAAGTTCACCACTACCCGAACCACTTAATAATTGAATTTCCTTCCTGCGCTCTATGGCTATTTTTGACGTTGTTCCGGTAGAGAGACGATAATCCGGTAGAGTTTCAAGTACTTTTGCGTGTCTGAATCTAAGGTCTGTTCATGGCTAGATCGTATTTAACCTGGCCGCACTGCAGCCGGTCCGAAATTCGCCGTAGAGGTCCACAGGTGGAAAGTTTTACATTATTTCTAGGGATTTGGTGGGTGTAGTGGGCAGCGCTCCTGTGACGAGCATGACAGCCGTCCTCTGCACTCGTTCCACCTTAGATCGGGGCAAAGTGTTGATTAGCGTAGAAAAGGATGGGGTTTTATATCTCTTCTTTGCCTATAGCCGCCTTGGGCTTAGATGTTTCGTTTCCAGTCAAGTTTCTCCTCTAGAACAACTCCAAGGTATTTAACCTCGGATGTGAGAGTAAGTGCCACCCTATTTAGGGTGGGACGTTTGAATAGAGGAGTTTTATTTCCTTGTGAATAATACCATTACGGACTTGTAGGATTGACGCCAAGTCTACATCCCTTGTACCAAATGTTTAAAGACTGAGTTCATTTTGCAATATCACACTCAGAACCCGCAGATGTTTGCCCGTTGCTACAATTGCTATGCCACCAGCGTATGCAATGACTTAAAAACCGGTGCTCTTTAGGCTTAGAAGTAGGGCATCAGCGATTAGACTCCAGAGTAGAGGGAGAGAACGCCTCTTTGGGGAGTGCCTCTGGTCACATACTTTTTAATGGAGCCGTACCCCAGGTCTGATATACTAATTATATTTTCGAGAAGGAGCTCAGCCAAGGCGAATTCATACAAGGTGATGTTGGTAGAACAATAACATTTTCGCCGCGGTACTTCTAAATGTCAAAATGATGTGTTTGTTGTACATTTGTGTCGATTCTGGTTGCCATTGTGTGTATAATTTCTTATTGTAGCTTTTGTTTCTGCTCTATTGATACCACCTTTTATAAATTCGGCTTGAGCCTAAAAAAGTTCATCAGACCCATTTGTACCTCCATCATAAGGAGGAGTTAATAAGACTTCGGATAGACATTGTAAAAAGGATCCTCCATATTGAGAAAAACTTCGAGCGCGTATTCCCGGGAGGAACACAAAATTTAGTTCCTTTGCGTAATGTCGGAAAACCAAAAATCTCTCTCGACGACCTAATGTTTACGTCTACAACGATATCCAATTGTTAAGGGCCTTTCCTTGCAGTGGCTCAAAAAGGTGAATACCAAACTAGAGAAACTGCACTGGTGTAACACCATGGGTCTAGGTCAGTCGAAAAGCTGAATAGGAGGGTACAATCTGAAAAGATATAGGCTACTCATGGTTCTCCCTAAGGAGGAACCGAGAATGATTACAGCTATTTTGACGGGCCGGTTGATTTCGGAATGCTTACACATTGAGAAGTTAGCTTACTGCCAATATAGAAGTATTACATAAATGGGTCTAGTGACCTGTATCGTTTGTGTGCCGCTGCCAAGGAGACTCCATTACACCTTCTTCTGGAGTATGAGGCCGTTGCAAATAGGAGGGAGAGGAGCATATGACACTTATGGTCGGGAGAGGGGCACATACACTCTCTACCACCGGGATCTACTCTGAAATTCGTAGAGTCTCTAGGGCTCGTTGAGGCGTTGTGATGAGCTAAGGACACAATAGACCTACTGGTCGCAGTGCTTTTCATCAACTACATATTTACCTATCTATCTATATTCATATTCAAGTGTTTGCTTTCGAATGCATAAAGTTAGGACAATTCGCTATCTGTTGGCACTGTTGCAGTTTATATGATCATACATACATAATTACATATCGTTACCTTAATTCACAAAGGTCCTAACCTACATTTTTATTTGTTTTACAGGAGAAACAAAAAACGTTAGTGGAATTCGCGCTTTTGTATATTCGCTGTATCCTGCGTAAGTGTAACTGGACGAGCATGCGGTTGTTGTTGCATGTGTACTTGATGTACCGCTAGCAACAACAAATCACACGCTCATGCAGTTACAATTACACAACATACAATGAATACACAGAAGAGCGAATTCCACTATTAAAAAATGAGTGTCAAAAACAGGTAGGGCTTTTTAAAAAAGTAGCATGTAACTCTGTTGCTTTTGGTACTAATACTTTAAAATCTTTAATGAAGGTGTATTTTAATACATCCTACCAAATTCTGTGAAAAACGCAGTTTCGAAATAAGTGTTGGTTAAGGCCTTTGTTAATTAAGGTAACGACATGTACATTAAACTGGGTTGATCCCCATACAAAAGCAAAAAGTATACAGTTTTAGTTATTAAAATTTATTAGGTCAATGAACTGGTCTAGCTCGACGGGATGTTAGAGGAATGTATAGAGCTCAAAAATATATCTTGAACGTTATATCACACTTTGAGATCGAGACATAAGTAAATAAAAATGTAAGGAAGATATTTCGATTTTTGCTGTTTTTAGGACTCGCCAAAGGCGTAAATTTTTATTACTCTAAAATCCTCTCAATGTAAGCTTTCAAACTGGAAAGCGGTAATTGCAAACTTTTTTCGCTACCCAGTACAACGTACATATGCATATACTTACATATCTAAGTTATCGATCACAGATCCAGGCTGGTTAGATACATAATTAAACAAAGCATCCTTTACCTAGTAACAAAATTACAAATGTTTCACACACATATGTACATGCACTTACGTACGTATGCACCTGAATAAACTGAATAATAATATAGCGTAAGAGCTTTGGCAATGCATATGTAGGTCAGAAAGAGGAATGTCGCGAAGCAATAAGGAAAGGAATCCGTGTTACTTTGTATGCTATGATTTTGTACAATTGCTTACACACTGCATTAATATGAACACTCGTGTAAGTACTTAAGGATTCCTAGAACTGTAGTATGCAGTATAAAGCAGAACAGACATTCACGATGTACATACATACAGTATTGGACATATCTATAGCACCCCCCTTTCAGAGCGATATTGTTTGCCACTTATGTTTAATTATTTGGTTTTAAGAATTTTCAATTAAAATACAGTTCATTCTCTAACAAAACCCATATAAACCAATGTTTTAAACTTTTTAAAAGACCGCAAAAAGGTGCAACAAACTTTCCCTTAAATTTCAAACTTTTTTCTCAGAAGCTCTAGAATTTTTTTTAGTACACAAGTTTCAAGTCGCTAAAGATTACCGTTGATTTTTTTAGAATTTTTTTGTCTCATTTGCTTCCATATATGGACTAAACATAATTTATTTTTATATGGCAGAAACCCGCAACATCCTCGGCGAAAAAAATTCTAAAAAATCAACGGTAATTTTTAGCCACTTGAAACTTGCACATTATTAGACTAAAATTGACAGTTTTATAGGTGTATTCAAAAAATTCTTCCCCTTCTGAGAAAAAAGTTTGAAATTTGGGTGAAAATTTGTTGCACTTTTTTGCGGTCTTTTAAAAAGTTTTAAGCTTGAGTTTATGTTAGTTTTGTGAGAGAATGAACTGTATTTTAATTGAAAATTCTTAAAAATAAACAAATAAACATGAGTGGCAAACAATATAACTTTGAAATGGGGGTGCTATTGTATTGGCCAATACTGTATATACATGGGACATTCTTTGCCAAGCGGGCCACCGCAGCTCTCCATTTTTTGTTTTGATTTATTGAATTCGAAACCTTTTGGAAAAACTAGTTTAAAGGGCCTTTTTTTAAATGTCGTTGGGCGTTTTAAAAAATTCAAGATGGCGGTTTAAATATGGCGTCTAAACGAACTATAAATTAGAATTTGCTTTACAACTTTTGTGTCTCTAGAGAACCTAACACTAAGAAAGAAAAACTAACGGCGGCTTTTTATATTTGTAGAGTTTTTGATTACGAATCGGTGTTCTGATTTTAAGTCAAAACATTTTGAAACATTTTCCTCGGGGGTTATTGTAGTTGTTGATTAAGAACTGTAGTCATATTAGAAAAATTCAAATCGATTAGATTCGCTTAAAACTTTACAATCGGCGATACTTGAGGCCGCTGACTACGAATTTGAAATCAGATTTTAAAAATTCAAAACGGCGAATCCATATTAAATCTACCATTTATTACGGAAAATTAAAATCGAACGTACGCACATGGCGTATGTGTAATATTCTCGCCTTCGCTGTGTAGCTCATACGCCATGTACGTATGTATGTATGTACGATTTTAACTTTTCCATGATATATGGTAGATACAATATGGATCCGCTATTTTGA